TTAGCCATAAGAAACGATGAAATCCAGCCATTTGTGACAACATGGATGGACGTTGAGGATATTATGCAAAGTGAAATAAGTCAGAGGAAGAAGGCCAAATACCGTATGATTTCCTTCATTAAGTAGTAGATAATAACAACAATAAACAAATATGTAGAGACAGAGATTGGATTGGTGGTTACCAGAGGGGAAGAGGGGAGGGAGGAGGGCGAAAGGGATAATTTGGCACATGTGTGTGGTGCAGGGTTGTAATTTGTATTTTGGTGGTGAACATGATGTAATTTATGCAGAAATAGAAGTATAATGATGTACACCTGAAATTTATATAATGTTATAAACCAATGTTACTGCAATAAACAAAAAAATAAAAAATAAAATAAATTTTAAAAATCTACATGATTAAACTTCTATGGGGTCTCATAGCAAACCAATCTCACTGGGCATAGCACACTACAGGTGCTCAATCAATAGAGAAACAAAGTAGGAAGTGGGATAGGTAGCTAGATTGTTTTATAGTCGTGGCCAAACAGGTATTCTGGACCATCCTAAAGGAATTTACAATCTAGTTCAGAATGTAATATATAACCTCTGAACCAGTTCATTACCCATAACAGCTCCTATTGGTGCCGCAGTAGCCTCTGAAGGATGTTGTCTCAGGGGGATCCACTCTCAAATTTTGAATCCTCCTGTCTTGCTTATTCTCCATTTTTGACTCTTCACTAGGTTGTGTTCGAGGACTTGATATGCTGAATTTGCCCTGGTTTCCCAGCCTACCCTCACCTGAGACATGGACTCAGTGCCACAGCCACTAACCAACTCTATCCTTGCATATGCTCACACTGTGAAACTAAGAAGTTAAGGGGCCAGCCTGGTGGTGTAATGGTTAAGTTCACGCACTATGCTTTGGCAGCCCAGGGTTGGTGGGTTCAGATCCTGGGCATGGACCTACACACCACTTGTCAAGCCATGCTGTGGAGGCATCCCACACATAAAGTAGAGGAAGATGGGCACAGGTGTTAGCTCAGGGCCAATCTTCCTCAGCAAAAAGAGGAGGATTTGCAACAGATGTTAGCTCAGGGCTAATCTTCCTCTCACACACAAAAAAGTAAAAAAAAAAAAAAAAAAACCACCCAAAACTAAGAAGTTAACCTCAGAAAAACCTTAGGCCCTCCAATTCACCAGGGTAGTGAGACTCTCAAATGTGAAAATTAAGTAATACAAACAGCAACAGAACAAATTTCAGAAGATAATATATCAATAGGTGGCAAATGATTCAAACAGGAATATTACTGAAGGCCCCAAATGAGCAGAGATAAAGGTTGTATTTAAGGTAGGCTTGCTATGAATAGGAAAGAGGAAAAACTGCCAGCCAGGTGGAGAGGCTTAAGCAAAAGAAAGAAAACAGGAAAGTGATAAGTACTTCATTTAAAGATGAATTTGTAGCACAGAGAAAGGTTAATATTTGCCCAAGGTCATAAAACTTAGAAATAGAGCCAATACTGAATGAAATTCATTTCTCCTGATTCACAGCCAAATGTTCATTTAATTAGACCATGTTCTCCAACTTTGCTCAAGTTGTTTTGTTCAACCAAACTTCTCACCACAAATAACCCTGCCTCCATTAATTTCTTCTTGAGTGTATACCCTTCACCTGAAGCACATTTCAAGATATTCTTTAACGTAAACTTGTATTCTCTTACCAATAGCCCTGATGATTGACATAAGTAAGGAGGGTTCTTTACTTTCAGGCCATAGATATATGACCAACTCCTTCTTCCCATGCCTACTAAAACATCTGAGTTCCAGTAACAATATTTTTTTAAATTAACCTCGGGTTACAGATTAAAAAACAACTGACAGTGTCCAGTCAAACAGACTTTCTGCTTATTCATAGCTTGGTATTATCACCTACAGTGCAGTCAAGGGTGTGTCTAAAAGCACAGGGTGCAACTATGTTACTGTCATTCATCATTATAGTAAATAAGAAAGGTAACATCTTGCACTAGAACATAAAATGGGCTTCCATTCTTTTATTTTCAATAGAAACATGTTTCAATTTTTCCCATATCCGCTAAACCTTCCAAAGACCCTATCTTCCCTTCCTATTACCCTAATTCTCTACACTGACACATGTTTTGCAAGAGTACACTCAACCTGTCTCCACTTCAACTCCAGTTTTTATCTAGTACTTACTTTAGCCATCTAGTGAAATTCTCACTAAGGAAACCAATGACATCTTAAATATCAGAATCAAAGGCCTATTTTTCAACTCTTAGCCTTTTTGAACTCTTAAGGATGGAGAAGTTGGTGCAGAGTTCATCAGAATGATAGCACTTACTGAGCTCTCACTCTGTGCCAGGCACTGTACTAATTAAGCTTTCAAAAACGTTTCACGTAATCCTCACATCTGAGAAGTATTTATTACCCCCTTTTCACAGATTAAAATTGAGGCTCAAAATTACCCAAAGCCATACAGTTAGTGAAGCCTGCATGATGCCAATGTTTGCAATTCTGTGGTTTTTGCTAAGTTTTGTTCTCAGTTCTCTTCCTAACTCTGCGGCCTTTTCTCCATCATTCACTATTTCATCAACCTCTGCTCACCATTACTTCTCTCATTTTCACATGCTCTCCTGGTTCTCCATCGTTCACTATTATACCACCCTCTGCTCATCACTGCTTCTCTTATTTCACATGCTCTTCTGGGCAATTTCATTTCCTCTCATGACTTTAACTACTTGTTTCTCAATCTTTTAAAGCTTTTTGTAAACATAAAAATCTTGTGCTCTTTCTGTAGTTCACATTTTGAAAATAGGTTTTTTCTCAAATAGAAATTCTAATGTTGAATATGTTTGTTCAAACTACACCTGCTCCTGACTCTCAAGATTTGAAAACCTCTTATGCATCATCCCATGACTGAGAATCAGCGATTCCTCTGTATGATGTCTCTCAAATCAATCTATCTTCCCTCTCTTCACCCTCCCTCTCTCCTAGACCTCTCTCCTGAGTTACAGACAAATATTACCAAGTGTCTAATAAACACAGCTTCATGACTGTCTCCCCATGCCCTTCAACCTAAAGCCATCCACAACAAAACTCTCCTTTCCCTTAGCAAACTCGAACCATCTCCCTGTGTTCTCCATTTTGGCTAATAGTATTGGAATCCACCCTATGGTTTAAGGTACCTATTTGCGAAACAGTGATATTGGCAGCACTAACTCTCCCCTGAGCTACTAGAATCAAAAATCAGCCAGTAAACGAGCGACTATTATGGCCAGGAGCTAAGGAATTCAAAGTAGCACAAGATTTAATCCTCTTCCTCCTTAATACGTTTACAAGCAGAAACATAACAAAACCAATTTTTTTGTGAGGCGTTTTCCCATTTACAAAACAAAATTAATTTAATTTACAAAACTTTTTAATTTAACCCATACTATAATCCCATTATCACCTCCATTTTATAGACAAAACCGAGATTGAAAGCGGTTAGGTAATGTAACCAAAGTCTTACAAGCTGGTAAGGGGCCAGTCCAGACCAAAACCCTACACTTGAGATTTCAAATTCCACTCTTTCTATTATTGTTGAAACAAACTTCTATACAACAAAACGAAAACAGGTCTGGGGACAAAAGAGGTCAACAGAGCAGCGCACACAGTCAAGTACTCAAGGACACAAAGCGACCTGAACGCGCTCTGGGCCGGGGGCCGCCCGGCCCCACCCTGGCTCCGACGCCCCCCAGGCTACTCTCTGCGGCCGGTCTCCAGCGCGCAGGGTCGGCAGACATCGTGGGGAAACCACGCTCTGCGACTCGGGGCGCACTGAGCAGGACTGTCGCCGCCTCCCGGCCAGGCCGGAAGCTGAGTCTGGTTCAGCCGCAGCCGCCGCGCCTCGAGCCTCCGGCACAGCTAACCCCTAGCGTACCTGGTGGAGGAGACGGCTGGAGGGCAGGCGGTCCCGGCAACCCTAGAAGACCGGAACGACCATAGTGGAGGGCCAGGCCGGCCTCCGGCGCTAACTGCGACCACTACCTTTGCTCAACACGGAGCCACAACGGCTCTTGACCGCAGCGAACAGAAGCTAAGCGACCGGCGGGAAGCGCCGATTTCAGGAAGGGAGGGCATCGCAATGGGAGAAGGGCGAGGGCGGAGACGCGGAGCGTGGGGGCGGGGCGCGCGGCGCGAGGAGGCGGGGCGTGAGGGGCGGGTCGCGCAGCGCGAGGGGTCGGTCACGTGGAGGCGAGCGCGAGGCGGGGCGCGGGGCGCGGCGTGAGAGGGGGCGGGGCGCGCGTATCGGCGCCGCGGCCGCGTGACGCGTTTTCAAATCTTCAACCGCCGCAGCCCACTCGTTTGTGCTTTGCCCCTTCCTTCTCCGCGCCGTGAAGCCGGATCCGGCCCCGGAAACCCGGCCGGCAGAGGCGGCATCTCTACTGCGTGGGTGCGGTAGTCCGCGGAAGAGGAGAGGAGACTGGGTCTTCAACGGGCCTGGAGGAGCCGTGTTTTCGCGACTGCCGGACGCGACCCCCTCTCTGGACCCAGCATGTAGGTGCCGGGCGGCTGCCATGAACTCCGGAGCCATGAGGATCCACAGCAAAGGACATTTCCAGGGTATGAAGCTCCTCCTCCGCCTGCAGTCTCTTTAATCCTTTCCTTCCCTCATGGTGCCACCATTGATTGTTCAGAGTTCTTCATGGGGTCCCTGCTTCTTTTCTTTTCTGGCTCGTGCGTCCTTCTGTTTGGCCTGAAGGCAGGCTCCGCTCAGGGCTTTCTTCAGGAAGGGCACGGATCCCGGCCCGGTCCTTCGCGCTCTTCACGCTCCAGCCGCGGCCCCACATTCCAGGTCGTGCTGTTGGTTGTAAAGCTGGAAAACAGTGTGCGGCCCCGGGAACTCGCCGGGGCTCCCCCAGATGCTGCGACTCCGCCCGGGCCCGTTGACGCTGCAGCTCGATCCTCAATTTAAAAGCAGATGTGCTCGTGCCTTTTCAGGTTCATGATTAGATTGGGTGATTGTGAGTGGATTTTTGGTCTTAAGTTCATTTTCCCTCACTCGTAAAGTTGAGGGAAAGTATTTGTATTTCAAACACACCACTGCTGTTTCCAACATTATAGACAAACAGAAACAAAAGCAAACTTCCATTTCCTATCACTGTGTTTGGTAAAACATTCCAGCCTCTCAATTTTTTAAAATACATATGTTATTTTTATATATAGTGTACATATATATATATATATATATATAGTACCTTCAAACAGTGGTTTGAAGGTGCTGGAGAGCAATCAGAAATAGGCAGATGCTGGGGAGGGAACAGTCCTTGAAAGAAAAGGAGCAGATAAGGAGAGTGGCTCATTTAAGCAGCTCCTCCCCACCCCCCCACCCCGAGCACTGCCCCGTTTGAGGAGCTCACACAGAAAGTGGCAGTTTTACTGCTCAGAGTTTGGGGCCACCAGAAAAGCTAAAAATCGAGAGGGAAAATTCCAGAAAGGAAGGAGCCATAGAGATGTCCTCCTACAAATCTTCCTCAGATCGTGAGTGGCTCCTAAACTGAGCGTGGGCAGAGTGAGGCTCCCAGGAACCCAGCAAGAAACAGCAGCAGAGGAGTCAGTTGCTGCCTGGTGCCGAGGAAACAGAATGTGGAATTCAAGTTCTACCAAGTTCGAGGGGTTCGGTAATTGCCTTAGGTTTTCCTCTGAAACTCCAGAAAAGCCTCACCTTGTGATTAAACCCAAGGCTGACAGCCACACCCTAAAACTAAAGGCAAAACCAAAACAACCCCACCCTAGCAAAGCCTAAAACCAAGACTCTACAGGATCCAGGTGATCCACCAGTAATTTACCTGCTTGTCAGAACAAAACTCAACATTCTTTTTAGAAAAATAAAAAATCCGGACTCCCTGTAACATATCATCCACAGCATCCAGAGTATAATAAAAAAAATCCAGACTCTTTATAATATTATCCACAATGTCCAGGATATAATACAATCACTAGACATGCAGGCAGAAGGAAAAAGTGACCCATAATCAAGAGAAAAATTAGTAGACCCAGACTCACAGATAACCCGGATGTTGAAAAAAAAAATCAGTTAATAATAAATTCTGTGAAGAGAATTATAATCAAGCAGTAGGCTAGAGAGTAACTATGCGGCTACTTTAGGAGGTCAGGGAGGGCCTCTCTAAAGATGTGACCTTTATTTGAAATGTGAAATGCCAGGCAGAGGAAACAGTGCAAAGGCCCTGAGGCTGGAAAGAGTCAGGCCTGTTCAAGGAAAGGCAAGAAGGTTGGTGTGACTTGAACAAAGATGAGGAATATGATCAAAGATCAGACTGGTGGTCAGGACCAGACCATGTAGGATCTTGTAGCTCATAGTAAGGAATTTGAATTTTATTTGAAGAATGATGAATTGTCTGTGAAGGACTTTAAGCAGGAGAGAGACTTATCTGACTTATGTTGTTTTTCTTTTACTATGAGTGAGGCTGTCATTTCAAATATTTATAGCCAAGTGCATTTCTTTTTTTTTTTTTCTTTTAGCTGTGTATACGTATCTTTTACTTGTTTTCTACTGAGTTGTTGGTATTTTCCTCATAATTTATTATTTTTTTGGTAGAAGCTCATTTTGTATTAGGGAATAAACTATTTGCCTCTACTAAGTAACATATATTTTTGTCATTTGAATTTTGACTTTATGGCATTTTTCTTCCCATGAAAAACATTATTATGTCATTGAATTCATCGCTGTTTTCTTGATGACCTTCAATACTCCAATGTTATTTAAAAATTTTTTTAGAACTTTTTACATCCTTAAAAGATCATTCTGGCTGGCCCTGGAGAATGGCCTGTAGAGGGATGATAAGGCCAGCATGGCAGAACAGAAAGAGCTTGGGGTTTGGACTCAGAAGACTGGGACCAAATTCCTGCCCCATCTCTTACCAGCCTTGTGACTGGTCAAACCGTTTCACCACTCTTAGTCAATTTCTTTACCTATAACATGGAATAATAACAATAATAATAAAAATAATAAACATTTGTAGTGCTGTTCCTATGTACCAGACCCTGTTCCAGACACTTTACATGTATTATCTCATTTAACCTTTACAATAGTCTTTTGTGTGTGTGTGTGAGGAAGGTCGGCCCTGAGCTAACCCCGGATGCCAATTCTCTTCTTTTTGCTGAGGAAGACTGGCCCTGGGCTAACATCCGTGCCCATCTTCCTCTACTTTATATGGGACGCCGCCACAGCATGGCTTGATAAGCGGT